AGAATCGTGCGTCGCCTTCTCTACACCGCCACCCTCGGGAAGACAACTTAGGCTCCTCCGGTGCTGCCGTCGTGGGCGTCGGGCCCTTCATCTGTCCAAACTGGCACGATTCGATTCGAGTACTCTCCTCCTATATCATTATTTACCATATTTGTTTCATTGTAGTGTACATGATGATTAAAATAGGTAGCTATCAAATTAATCTTTTTTTCTTTTTGGGTCTCATAATATATACTTATCTATCAAATATGTACTTATCTTAGTTTTGGGTGATTGATGAACTTATGGAGGTTTTATCAGCTTGTAAAAAGGCGATGTGTTGTCTGGAACATAAGATGTGTTCAGTTGCATTACAGAATATCTTATTAGAGAATTGCTTTGGATCTTGTTTTAATTGAGAAGCTTTCTTGCACTGTTCTGTAAGTATATTGGCATATATGACACCTTATTATGGATTGATTTATGAAGATTTATTTGTGCATGAGAGATCCGTGAGCTTGCAAGTGATAGTATGTTTTCTTTCCAGAATATTCGGTTTTCTATAAAAGTGAACTTATCCAATTAATATGCACTTCAGAATCGTAGGAAGGAAAAAAATAAAAAGGAAACTCACCTTGTATTGTTGGGATAAAGTTGCTGAAATCATAGTATACTTAATTATTGATCCTTTTTATCAAAAGAATTTTGAGAGTTGTGTCTCTTCTTCCTATTCAGATAATTCTTCCTTAAATTTTTGTCTTTGCAGATTCATTGAGATACACGTCTACTTTATCAGTGGCACTTGTTGTAGTGTTCCTTATTATAACTGTGGGCATCACAGTCTTCAAGTTGATAAACGGAACTACTCTGTCTGATGCCTCGGTTATTTCCAGATGTCAACAATCTAACTCATTCCTCAACCTCTTCACTATCGTTCGTGTTCTTGTCACTGCTTATATCTTCCACTATAATGGTATGCATTAATTGTTTTGTTGAATTTTAAAACTTCTTCTTTCACATTTTGCACTTATCGAGGGTCTCTTTGAAGTTAAAAAAAAAAAAAAAACTCTCCACCTGAAGTTTTTACTGGTGACTGTAAGGAAATATTTCTTTGAAGGACCCGATTTTCATTTGTTAGTTTTATCTCAGCTTGGACTCATTTTTTCAGCTTTCTCAATCAGCTTGGGCTCAGTTGTTAGTCTTATGTCACACATTTATTGTTCTAGGCAGTTTCTCGAGTTCAATCTTGGCAATTAAAAATCCACTAAAGGAGTGTATTCGATTGGATGGATGCTATAAATCTACGAGGCTGTTAACCTATTGGCCTATTTAGTATAATGACGAACGAGGGTTTCAACAATGTAATGACCATCA